TCTCATCGCCCCCTCTGCCATGTGCCACTTTGGGTTTCCCTCACACTGCGGGGTGTGTTCCTTTTTTTGTCATAGGGGCTGGCAGATACGGGCCTCCCTTGCTGCTGCCAGGCCCGTAATCTGCCATGGGCCCCTTTACGCCCCCTCAGCTGTCCCCAGGCCCAGAGTTTTCATGGGCCCCTGTAGGCCCCCATTGCTGTGTCTCCATCGCCACATCTGCCATGTGCCCTTTCGGGTCCCCCAACCCACTGTGGTTTTTCCTTTTTTGTTAGGGTGTGGCAGTTTAGGGCCTCCCATAGCTGCTGCCAGGCCCCTAATCTGCCATGGGCCCCTGTACCGCCTCCTCATGCTGCTGCGCAGAGTCCACAGTGTGTCATTTGTTTCCCATGTGCCACTTTCCAGGGTCTCTCACAATGCTGGTGTGTTACCATGTTGTCCATAGAGTGCTGGCAGATTTACGGGCCTCCCATTGCTGCTGCAGGCCCCTAATCTGCCTATGGGCCACTGTACCGCTTCCTCATGCTGTGCCAGGTCCACCAGTGTCTATGGGTCCCTGTACGGCATCATTGCTGCTGTTCCTCCATCGCCACTCTCTGCCATGTGCACACTTTCAGGTCTCCTCACACACTGCTGGTTGTGTTCCATTTTTTGTCATAGGGGTTGTCTGGCAGATACGGGCTATCCCATAGCTTGACTGCCAGGCCCCTAATTGCCATGGGCCCCTGTTACCGCCTCTCATGCTGCTGCCTGGTCTGTGTCAGTGGGCTGTCATGCAACTCTGCATGTGCCATTTCTGGTCTCACTCAATCTGCTGGTGTGTTCCATTTTGTCATAGGAGTGCTGGCTGATTACTGGGCCTCCATTGCTGCTTGCCATGTACGCCCCTATGTGTGATCTGCCAGTGGGCCCCATGTACCGCCTCCTCATGCTGCTGCCAGGTCCACAGTGTCTCATTGGGTCCCTGTACGGCCTCCCATTGCTGCTGTCATCCATGTGCGCCACACTCTGCCATGTGCTGTTCATCGCACTTTCAGGTTCTCCTTTAGGTTCACACTGATGGTGTGTTCATTTTTTTTTGTCATAGGGTGCTGGCAGGATTTAGGGCTCTCATTGCTGACTGCCAGGCCCCTAATCTGCCATGGGCCCCTGTACCGCCTCCTCCCTCCCCATTGCTGCTGCCAGGATGGCAGCATTCAGGGTCTTCACTGCAGGGTGTGTTCATTTTGTAGCAGAGTGAGGTCAGTGGAGGCAAACGGCCACGGAAGTGTTTCATGTGGTTGTACCAGTTTGTGCTCTCACCTGCAGCCTTCCACACGGAGGGCCAGTTCGGTCTTACATGTGGTGCGGTGTGCACGGAGGAAGTAGCAGTCAGCCCAGTGGGAGTAGCGGGGGCAAAGTTTCCTATCGGCGGAATGTGGCAACTTTTTCGTCAAGCCGCCCGAGGGAAGTAAACGTAGCCGTATGTCGATATGTGGGTGAGCCAGAAAGTCAAGCGTTTTAGGACCTAGGGGGGCCATGTTGGGACTAACGTAGCGTTTATGTCAGCATATGCAGCACAGTCGCCATTTGGTGGCCTGGGAAAACCGTGATAAAGATACGGCGGGGAAAAGTTCTGCCTTGCCCCCGGTTTGTGAGCAGGATTCATTTTGTCAATAGGGTGCTGGCAGATTACGGGCCTCCCCATTGCTGGACTGCCAGGCCTTATTCTGCCATGGGCCCTTGTGTACCGCCTCCTCATGCTGCTGCCAGGTCCACAGTGTCTCATGGGTCCCTGTACGGCCCCCCATTGCTGCTGTCTCCATCGCACACTCTGCCTGTGCCACTTTCAGGTCTACCTCACAAATGTGGTGGGTTTCCATTTTGTCATAGGGTGCTGTATGGTCTCCATTGCTGCTGCCAGGCCGTAATCTGCCATGGGCCCCCCGTACCGATCTCCTCATGCTGCTGCCAAGGCCCATAATCTGTCATGGGCCCCTGTTGTCGCTTGTTGGCATATCCGCTCGTTCTCAGATGCTCCTTCTCCTGCTTACTTCCTCTTCACGGATTCGTTAGCAGTCTTTCTTGGAATCCGTTTCCAAGAGACAACAGTTTGCGAGCACGCACCCGATCGGTGCAGAAGCTGAACGTCCTCCTGTCCAAAGTTGCTGCTGCAGGACTCGTTTATTGTCAATGCGCCCCTGTACCACCTCACTCATGCTGCTGCCAGGTCCAGAGTGTGTCATGGGCCCCCGTACCGACTCCTCATGCTGCTGCCAGGCCAGTACTTGTCATGGGCCCTGTTAGGTCTCCTCATGGTGCTTGCTGCAGGTCCAGAGGCTGTGTAGGGTCACTTGTACGGCCTCCCATTGCTGCTGCCAGGCCCCGTAATCTGCCATGGGCCTCCGTACCGCCTCCTCATGCTGCTGCCAGGTCCAGAGTGTCTCTGGGTCCTGTAGTTACGGCCTCCCATTGCTGCTGTCTCCATCGCCACACTCTGCCATGTGCCACTTTCAGGTAAGTGTGCGGTGATTCGCGAAGATCGACGGCACTCATCTGCATGTCATACTGACTGATAGTATTATTTCTCTTCCCCAGCAGACTCCAAGGGCATTTAAATTAAAGGTACAGTGTTCTGCACTAATATAAAGGCTCTCTGAAGCCTAGAAACACCCTTTTATAAGTTAAATTCGCAGCGAATATATTCGACTCGAATCGAAATTTTTTCACGAATTCGCGAATCAGTCGAATCGAATTTTTGAATAATTCGCTCATCTCTACTTGTAATTAAGAGCTGGAGAGGTAAAAAACAAAGTGTTATTTTATTTTATCACACAATGGCTTAAAATAACAATGCAAAGCGTATCATGAACAGTTCCATGTAGAAAAAAGCAGAAATATCATAGCGGAAGTTTAAAGATAAGTCACCATTATTGTCATGGCTGTCTGGCCATGTGCATTCTCCATGTTCTGTTTGTCCTTCTGGAGTCTTTGGGAAGAAGCCGGAAGTAGACAGAAGTGAATATTCTTGTCTTACAGCACCTGTTCCAGCTTCTCAGAATGTTCTTATGCGTGTCTGTTTGGACAGACGTGTGTGTGATTGCGTATGAATGTGAGCGTGTGACCGAGACTGTCCCTTATGACCCTTTTTATGAAGCAAGTAAGCGTCTTAATTTGGGATCTTGGAACCTTGTATGGTAATCAATACTGCTTAGCAGAGCAATTTCATTGAAGGGAGGGGACGCTACATACTGTATATGGTGTTTTTATTGACAGGTACATATGCAACGACCATAATAAGCTGGTGATGTAACCTCAGCGACACATACAGTCAGGTCCATAAATATTGGGACATCGACACAATTCTAACATTTTTGGCTCTATACACCACCACAATGGATTTGAAATAAAACGAACAAGATGTGCTTTAACTGCAGACTGTCAGCTTTAATTTGTATTTACATCCAAATCAGGTGAACGGTGTAGGAATTACAACAGTTTGCATATGTGCCTCCCACTTGTTAAGGGACCAAAAGTAATGGCACAATTGCTTCTCAGCTGTTCCATGGCCAGGTGTGTGTTATTCCCTCATTATCCCAATTAAAATGAGCAGATAAAAGGTCCAGAGTTCATTTCAAGTGTGCTATTTGCATTTGGAATCTGTTGCTGTCAACTCTCAAGATGTTGAATACTTAGCTAGCTCAGCTGTCTCAGCTTAACAAAAGAACTTAACACTATCACTGGTAAAAGGCGACCATTCACACATTTTAATATTAATTATGATTAATCATAACAACCAAATATTTTGCAAGCTTGCCATCAATATAAAATAATTGCCGAATTATAAATTTGATATAAATAATTTTCTTCACTACTATTGGTTGTGGAGGTATTTTTATGTTATGTTCTTGGCATATGTCAGTTTTTGTTCGGTTATGATTGACATGTTGGATTTGTGTGGTATGTTGTGTCTCTGGTGGTCATTGTGTATATGGGGGATATTTTGCATGTGTTTTGTTTGTGGGGTGTTTTTAGGGTTCTTGTTGTCTTATTGGCATGTTGTAATTTTGTTGTGGTCTCTCTGTTCATTTTTTGTTTTTTTACTGTAATGTTGGGGGTGATGCACATGTGCCCTGTGTGAGTGACTTCATTCTGTTTCCCCAAAGCAGGAGGGCCAGGGATGGGATCTCAGTGTGGTGTGTCTCTGCTAGTCTGTTTCCCGCCACTACTGGGCATGCATGTCCAGTGGCATAGGTTAGCTTCCCCCTATGACTACATGCCCTCACACGAAACGCATCAGTGAGCGGCTACAGCGGTGTGACGTCACGCCGACCGGCGCCACGAGGGCCCCGGCGGCAATTTGCATATGTATGGGTCAGTATTTTTCTTGCTCCTACCTGTACCTTTTTTGGAATAAACACTCCTTGCCATAAGGATATCACACTATCTGGCCTCCTTTTGTTCTTTGAGCTCTGGGGGGAGCCATTTACATCTGCAGAGTGGCTATTTCCAAATGTGGCAGCACAATCAAGCAGTGAGGGGCATTTGACCAGATCTGACCAGACCCACATAAGGATCCTTAATGTCCTGAGATTATCTACTTTAAATGTGCATTTAGATTGCGTATCTGGTGAGTGCGCAATGTTTATACATCCATCACCTCATCCACGGATCCAGCCATTGGATTTTTGAAGATCATTTGGGATCTTTTCTACTCACGCTATAGACTGTATTTGGTCTAGCGCCCAATCACCTATAGTCACCATTAGGTGACGTTTTTATTTGCACCTTGATATCGTTTTATGTTATTTTATTGTATTTTTTATATGAAGATGTTTTGAATATTACATGTCTATATGTTCTAACATAACATTTTAGAGCTGCATCTTTCTTTATTTTGTTATACACTTAATATTTACTGGTGTCTCATCTTTCTCTTTATTTTTAGAACCCCATACTTTACATTACTTAGCATATGGGATCCTCCCATTAGTGATATTCCCCCACATTCACATTTATGTTAGGTACTGGCGTCGACGTAGGCTGAAAGGGGAGCTCCCCGGAGCACAGAAGGCGCTGGAAGAGGAGGTGCTCGAGCATGGAAAGACCCCTGCTGCTGGAGCAGTCTGTGCAGGGATGCACTAGACTGGCTGGATGACACACTGCAGGAGATCCAGAGGCCAGGAGATACCAAAAAGACATAGGACATCAGGTCACAGGACATTGTGAGCCACCGCCAAGACCCCCCTTCAGGTGATTCTACAATCTGGGACAGGAGACCCCGATGGGGGCAGAAGAGAGCACAGAGACAGATAGACCCAGAACCCTAGGCTTGGAGGGTGATGGTGAGTTGCTGTGGGTAACGCCAGGAGATTTAAAGTCGTTATTGTCTACTGTTGCTAAACAATTGCATACCTGAGTTATAGGGCTGGGCGGTCAAAAGATTAAGGAGTTGGAGTAGTAAAACTTTCATTTCTGGCGCCGCATGGCCTATAAAATCGTCTCCCTGCGCCAGGGAAACTATCAAATCGGCACAAAAGTGCCCCCCGATCCCCCCTGCATGGACCGGTACCTGCTGCCGGCTCCGGTCCCACTGTACGGCCCCAGGGGAACAGCTCTCCCCCTCCTGCAGCCAAGATGGCCGCCGATCACATCCAGCACAGCAGCAGCAGCAACATGGACACAGACACTAGAGCAGGTATGGCAGAACCACAGCCACTCACCACAAATTCACTGGGGCATGCTGACACCCTTAGTCCCATGGGCCAATACGACAGGATTGCACAGGCTGTTGCTTCTTTATTACTACCTACTATTACTCAGGCAGTGGACAGAGCAGTAACACAGGGTATAGAGCAACTTAGAAGAGACTTGGGAGACAATGCCAAACGTATAACTGAAGCTGAACAACGCCTCTCTGATCTAGAGGATGAGTTTCAAGCTATGCAATCTGGCATTTTACACTCTAAATGCACGCAGCAAAACATCCTGGACAAACTTGACGACTTAGAAAACCGTTCGTGCAGGAACAATCTGCCCTTACAGAATCCTACAACTCAGGCTTGTTACCTGACATTTGTTCTACGCGCATTCCCGCTGCGCTGGGTATCTCGTCACCTTGCCAGGTTGAAAGAGCACACTGCCTTGGGGCGCCTTCAAATGATAGATGCACGCCGCGCTCTATAATCGTTAAATATCTTAACTACGCTGACCGCGTTGCTATCCTAAATTCATTTCGCAATTCACGCTCCATACAACTAGAGGGCCACAAGCTACTATTATTTGCTGACTACTCCCAGGAGGTCTCCCGTAAACGAAAAGCATTCCAGCAAATATGCACTACGCTATACCAAAAAGGGATTAAATTCACCCTCGCATACCCTGCTGCACTCCGCTTCACAACGTCTACAGGGGAATCTAAATCATTCACTTACAGAGAGGAAGCCCTCCTGTATCGGCAAGCCAGTTCGTCTGATATTGGGGGCCCTCTAGATCCCCACCAGGCATCCCGAGACCCAGGCCCAAGAGACCAGCGCAGTCCACGAAAACACCCACCAAAGAGGCAATGAGTCAACTTTACTTCGGCCAAACGTAGACCACCGTGGCGGAGCAAGTATCCACTAACTTCTCTTTTTTTCTCATTGTTGACCTGTTTGTTAGCCATTTTTTTGCCAGGTCCTCGACCCCCATTCAGTTTCTCCTTTTTATTCCTTGCTCCCTCTCCACCCAATGGTGAATCGGTTCACAACACAAGTGACTCTCACCTCACCCGATCGCCTCTTTACTTGCATATACTGCCCTGCGTTATTGTACTTTAATGTTATTAACCTGTTGTTATGCTCACAAAGCTATCAGGTTATTCAGGGCCTCTAGCTCTCAGGTAACAATGTTTTTGTATGCTATGCCCAATACTATGCTTTGACCACTGTGCCAATGCCGATATTAGGGTTGCTGACCCCTTCCTCACTGCTAGTCCATAATGATTTTGGGGTTCCCTCCACTCCTTGCTTATGGCTATACATCCCCTTGTTGCAGGTTCCAAACCCTATTGTCCCCGGTTACGCTGGTCAAAGTTTGGAGGTAACATGTGGAATATGTGAAGTTCAAAATGCCTTTGAAGTTTATTGTTATTTTTGCCTACTCCATGGACCCCTGTTGGGTCACCTTTGTGTCTATATCTCTGCCTTCCCCTTTTCTATACTCTCTCCACTCCTTTACATTCCCTGCACGCCCCAATATCTCAATCAGACATCTTACTAGCCATCAAATCCCTTACGAATGACAAAGCCCCTGGGCCTGATCGCTATACAGCCAAATTTTATAAACTCATGGCCGACACCCTTTCCCCTACCTTACAGTCAGTATTCCAGTCAATCCGGGTGGGGGGGGGGACTACCTCCCCACTGGGTTACAAGCACACATTAAATTGATAGCCAAAAAAGATAAGGATCCGAAAGACCCTGGATCATATCGGCCAATATCCCTCCTGAACCTAGACGCAAAACTGTTATCTAATAT